CGATCTATAAAATAGATTAATCATTAATATTTAACCCCAAAACCCCAAAACCCCTTCTAGGTTAAATATTAATGATTAATCTATTTTATAATATTAATTGAGAGTTTTTACATTTATATTTGCCTTGAGAGGCAATCAACGAAGTGCATCAAAATCCCTTAGTTTATTCTTTAAATTGGCTATGTTTTTATTGAGTATTCCAAGCTCCCTTTCCAGCTCCTCCCTTCTTCTCTTCTGAGCAATGGTCTTTGCGTTCTCGGGTATCTTGTCAAATTCATTTTTAAACTTGTCTCTTTCCATGTTTAGCTGCATAAGATTGTTCTCTACAGTTTAGATCTGTCTTGCTCTTTTATCATAGTCATCTTTCTACTAGGCAGTGGCTTGCTAAGTGTTCTTGGGTGGAAGGTTTCTATCTGCTCTGGAGTTAGCAGGTCTATCACCCCAGGGATCCTCTTCCACATTTCGATTGTTAGTCTGCCTCGCAGGAGCTTCATAATCCTAGTTAGGATTTCTCTGACCACCTCGTTTGGAAGGAAACTCAACTTTACTTTCATAGTTACTTTCTAAGTTACTTTGGGTTGTTGCTGGTCGGCGCCCACTTTACTCATTCTTCCTTGATGGAAAAGCCACATTGTTAGAAGTTTCCTGTATTCCACCTATTTAACCATATTCCTAAATTATTGGGGATTTCGCTGGGCCCATTCCTCCACGTTTTTAAGCTCCTGGCATGCCAATTGGTTGGTCATCCCATTATAAAATTGAGCCTACATTGTTACTTTTCAGTTGATTGTATCTCTCTGTATTTTTCATTTGAGGAGGTTAGTCATTATTTTAAGAAGGCGCTCCTCTTCGATTAGCAGTGGCTTGGTTTTTGCGATTGTTGCTGGTACCTGGTGATATATTAGGAACAGCTGACTCTCGGCTGTGGGTTGAATACGTATCGTTTAAGCTGCTCTGTGATTGACGCTCATGCTCTTGCCAAGTGGATTGGACGTTAAACACAGGTGGCTTTTGCTAAATCCCTGTAGCAGCTTAAGAGTAAAACATTGACTATTACTGTATGAAGGAGTTCGCTTACTATAGCTATAGTCTAAGCTACTGTATTTCCTTTTACATAAGATCTTTAGTTGAATTAGCTAGAAACTCTCTATGCTCGACCTCTCCTAGTTTGTCTCTCATCTCAAATACTTATACCTTAAGCTATTCCTAGACATTGTTTGTCATATTAATTTGCTGTTTGAGGAGCATGACTTCATTCTTGAGTTCCTAGTTCTCTCCTCTGAGGAAATGCTGCTCAGTCTGCTCTGATTGTAACTTACTCTTAAGATCGTTGATTTAATTCATTAAATTTGACTTTTCTTGGTCTTTTTAGATGAGAGTCTGCTCGCTGAACTCAAAGCTTTGGCGAACACGCTCTGCTTCTTAGTTAGCTCTCTCCATTTAGTTCTTAACTCGCCCCATTTCACTCAAGCCTCGTTCAATTTCATAGTCTCTCTCTCGCAGCTGCTCTTGAAGGTCATTGATCTGTCTTGCCATCTCCTCCTCCTTTTTACTCAGAGCATCTTTAGCGTTGGATGTCGAATCCTTGGTTCTTCTCATAAATGACATATCAAATTCTAGTTGCTCATTCTTTGCCTACTATTCTAGTTCTTTTCTTCTTGATTCGTCAAGCCTTCTATTAAGCGCATCAATTTCATTTTCTTAAGACTCAAGTTGATTCATCCTCGCTTCAAGTGCTTCCTCATAGAAATCCTTATCCTTCTGATTATCATACTGCAGTTTATCATACTTTTCCTTTAAATTCTGGAATCTCTCGTTGGCAAGCTCGTAGTCCTCCTGCATTTTGCGCATTTCCTCCCTCATCATTGACATATCCTGCCTCATTGGCTCGACTTTTTAGAAGTCAAAAGGCTGAGGCTGATTGTTATAATAGAGTTCTGAGTTGGAATGCTTGTTCATATTAGGAGTGTGGTTATTAGATGTGGGATTATTGATTCCGCCTCCAAGCTTGTTACCCACTATCCAGGGTATCTCATTGTTGAATTGCTCATGCATCATATTCACAAAGGTGTCTGGCGGTTGGTGGCACAATACCTCGTCTTAGTTGGGAATACCTGGTGCCATGTCGTTTATCTTGCCTATGATCTGCTCACTATAGCCGACAAGTTCTCCTTCATTGTTTAATTCACTTTAATCAAGCAAGTAGTTCTTGTTCTCAGTGCCTGCTCTGGAATTCAAATATTGATAGCTAGGTCCATACTAATTGGCATCGAACAAGATCTACTGCTGCTGATTCTAGTTGATAAACACATGCGAGTCATCCATGAAGTTCTAGATTTATTGCTGATCCATTGATAATTCAAGGTTCTAATCAGTTTGAAAGATTCTATGTCCTTGAGCTGCGGGGTTTTAAATGTTAACGGTGTTTGCTACTTGCTTCTTTTTATTCTTTTAGTCGAAGTAATCGTCGTGAGTGATGTTTGATTAGTTAATTTGATCAATTGGGTTCATCATACTAGCTTTGACCTTAGATGGTTCTTTGTTATCATTCCAGGTTTTCTTCTTTTTCTCATTTGAATTCTGCTTTTACTAATCAAACTACCCCTACTTTTGATTATTATTCAATATTTGCTTGACTGAGGTATTTGATGCTACTGTCTTTAGTGATTTTTCTTCTATTTTAGGCTCTACTTTCTGTCCAGTTTCTTTTTGCAAGAACTTTTAGAACAATTTAGAATTCTTGATCTTGTCAAAGTTGGCAGCACCGAATCCTACTGAGGCTGTGATTGGGAGATTAGTGCTTGACCCTGTTTTTTATTCAGGCACTGGCTCACTCTTTTCATCCTCATTAATTTAGTGAGATTCCCTGAAGGTATTTTAGACATTAGCTTTGGAGTTAAAGGTAAAGTTTTTATGTTCAGGCGACTTATAGGTATCGTAACCCTAGTTGTCTTCGTCTTCAACTCTCAGATCTAAAACTCAATAATTAATACAGTTAAGAATACTTTTGTTGTCTCTTGAAGAAGTAGGCCCCGCGGTTGAGGCGATCTCGTTGTTCTTGAACTGACTCCTGAGGTCTTGCTTCATCTTTTTAAGTTTCTTAGCCATGGGGTTATCATCATCGTCGTCGTCATCCTCCTCATCTTCTTCGTGGTTAGTAGTTAAGTGATTTCTCTGATTCTGCTGTTGCAGCTAGTACTACTATTACTGCTATTCCTACATCTATCTGGCAGAGGTTTGTCTTGGAGTCTCTTCAAACTGAACATCAATTTCTTCCTCCTCGTCTCCCTCCTCGCCTTCAACTTATTGATGCTCCAGCTAATCATTGTCTTCGTTGTAAGTCACATCAAATTACTAACAAATTAGCTCATAAACCCATCATTCTAGTTATGACTTACATTCTGTCTCTGAGATTCAAGCATATGATCCACAATTGCAGGTTCCTAATCACCGTTGTTTTCATCATCTTCATCATATTAATCGTCTTAGTACTATCTCTACTGCTGCTGATATAGCACATTTTATTCGTATTAATCGTAATCATCATCTTCATATTGATGCTATTGTTGATCATACACATAATTCTAGTTTTGTTGATAATTTTCCTCATCGTCGTACTCGTTATGCTCTTCCTGGTCCAACTCAGATCCTACATTTGGCTAGTTGTAATTTGAATAATGATTGTTATTTCTATTCATTTTCAATATATCAATTATTTTATTATTGAAATTACAAAAATATAAGTACTTTTGAATTTATAAAATATTAAAATTTTAATGGAAAGCAATCATCAGTAGGAATAGGAGCAGGAAGAAGTAGAGTTATTTGATATTAAGAAACTTCAAATCACCCCGGATGTCTCACAAATCTCAGAGGCTGTAGAGTTCACCATCTAATTCCAAGTGAAGCAGGCAGTTCCTAACCCTATGTTTTGGAAAGTAAACTACATTATAGACTCTACAGGCAAGAGAGTCATTAATGAACTTGTCATCTCAGATAAATACACATATAACGATGTCAACTAGGTCTATACTGTGCAGCTTAAAACACCTAAGATAGAAGTTGACAAGGTTCCTCGCAAAACTCTACTTAATGTAGGTCTCCTCTAAATCAAAGCCTACTAAGTGATTGATGGCGAGAACTAGGAGGAACTTAGCATGAATATGGTGGTGCACGTATCAAAGGACAAATCAGATGAATCAATTCTTCTCAAGACAGTTCTTAACCCCCTAGAATGAGAGACTAGTAGAAATGCAGTAATTTCGCTTCTAAAGACCTTGTTATTTAACACTTCAGATATTATTTTATCATAAATCGCATTAATTTCAAGTATCTTGAATAAGGGGTTTTGGGGTTTTGGGGTTTTGGGGAGGTGAGATTATGTACGCACA